ACCCGGCATATGCTGCCGATGTGCTGTGAGGACCCGGCGATGTGCTGTGAGGACCCGGCATATGCTGCCGATGTGCTGTGAGGACCCGGCGATGTGCTGTGAGGACCCGGCGATGTGCTGCCGATGTGCTGTGAGGACCCGGCATATGCTGCCGATGTGCTGTGAGGACCCGGCGATGTGCTGTGAGGACCCGGCGATGTGCTGTGAGGACCCATCATATGCTGCCGATGTGCTGTGAGAACCCGGCGATGTGCTGCCGATGTGCTGTGAGGACCGGCGATGTGCTGCCGATGTGCTGTGAGGACCGGCGATGTGCTGTGAGGACCCGGCGTACGGCATTACCATCGACGCGACTCGTAAGGGAGAACAGGCACATGAGGTCGACTGACACGAGCTTGTCATTCTGAAACGGCTTTAGAGTTCCTGAAGAATGCCAGAGTGCCTGTTTTAATATTAAAATAAATGGTATCAAGGTCGCCGTCACAGCTCCCGACGTAATGAACTGGTTGTGTCCGGTCACCAGATACTGGTCCGTCGGCTCATGCCGTGCTGCCGAGAGTGGTCCGCAATTTTTGGCTTCGATTTACGACCAATCTAGCAGCGATCTCGTTGTCTTCTTTATTTGGCCTGAATAGCGATAAACTGGCCTGCAATTACATATCAGTCCGTCCCGCAAGTCCGTCCCAATGGCTCATTTGGTTAATGCACATTCCTCCCGATTCACGAACCCGTGGCGGGGTGAGTTGTAGTCACTTTCGGCGCTCGTTATTCGTCCTTGACAGGTATGGCCTGCGATCGGGGGCAGCGGCCGCGATTAAGATCAGATGACGTCAGAGGGCTGGACGGACCGTGCCGAGCATTGCGGCACGTTGAACTGTTGCAGCCAAATTCTGCCGTTGACCTCGAACTGCGAGATCGGATGTTAGGATTCAGGGCTCACACAGCACGCATTGTTTAGCGTGTGCTCTGATCCCGGAAATCCACTCATTCAAATGGTTCAAATTAAATCTTAAAGAATAAAGGTGAAATGCTCGTTTTTTCAACAAATAAGTTCAAACGTCGAACTAAGGTGCTATTTGTACTTAGATGGCATTGAATACTATATTACCTCTGCTTCAGAAAAATTTAGGTTGTTTTGCATTCCGATGCGCTTTTCCCAAGCATTGCACCCCATTGACTGTTTTCACTAAATGAATTTAAAAACAGGGTGCACGACGTCGTCGCGCATTTTTATCTGCTCCTTGTCCCGTATCGCAGCGCCGCACGACTCTATGACTTACATAATCATGGCCGTATATTTTGTACAGTAAGTTTGCTGTATGATTAACTCATGAGCCTTTTATCGCTAAATTTGGACGGAGTGCCGTGTTATTCACCAGTCAATTTGTCACGGAAAAACCCATAATCTCAAAACAAACAAGACGCGTAAATCCTTAAATGTAGCCTGTTGGTCTCGTATGAACCATCAAACGCCACTCGCATGCTTGATTAGTGACAGCGATTTGATACGGCTTAACGCGAACCACCCAGTGCCGCTTTCCGCCTAACTCCAGAATGCTATTTTTTCGAAATAGAAGAAGGATGCTCGCAAGTTCGGTGAAAGTGAGAAAACGTTCCGTCCAGTGAGGTTTATTCTGACTTTGGGAGAAATAGGCAAAGCCATGCACCTGCATTTAATCTTTTGCCTTAATCGCCGTAAACGACATACTTATGTGGCTATTAATGACAAACAACTTGTCAGCACTCATACCCAGACATCCATTCGTCTTAACAATGTTCCCCATCATTTCTATTCAGCCCGGCACGTTATGCATCTTTTATGGGGCTCACACGTATTTAACGATCCATGCCGACCGTTCCGGCAGAGCTCAGCAAATTGAGTGAACATTTGTGCAGCTAAGCGGCATAACGAGGAAACTCGCCTAAGGATGACGTGAGAAGCTGCTGTAATGAATATGCGAGAAACATTGAATATCCTGCATTGTTCGGACTAGTCCGGGTGGATGAAAACCTCGAGCAGCCCTGCCCTCCAGCAAAGCTAAGCGCTTCCGTACGAATAGAAACTGCGCTCTTTTCGGTAACAAACCCCTTACCTTCATCTTTTAGAGGCATGTTCTTTAAAGCATTGATTTAATTGTATGTATGCAATTTGAAATATAATAAGTCATTGCAGAGTCTGCCACGAACAGCTCCAAACGAAAGTGGACAGCAATTCATGATTTTCTTTTTAAACTGCAATGCAACCATCCGATTTGAACCTTATACATTTTATCATTCGGTCAGAACTAAACTCTACCCACTGCCGAAGCCGGTGCGCCCTTGGGCTGGGCCGGTCAGTTAGACCGACAACCATTCGACCAATGAAAGCGAGCCTGACCGCGACGTCGTGCCACCCCATACGTATGACCGTAATAACCACTGTGATCACCACATGCATGTAGTAAGATGTATATTAAGAGATATGTTGGCTATCTATAAAACATATGCATATGCATATGCGTGCCTATGTAACACACGTAGTGACTATGTAGTGACGTATATGGAGAGCAAGCCGCCAAGTTCGTTACGTTCAGCCAGCCATCCTGGCACAGGGCGCTCAAGAACCCGTGGTGAGCAGGTCGACCCCATCGTCTTACAAACAATGCTCACACACCTACACACACACCCACACACACACACACCCACACCCACACCCACACCCACACACCCACACCCACCCCCCCCACACACCCATACCCACACCCACACCCACACCCACACCCACCCACCCACCCACCCACACCCACACCCACACCCACACCCACACCCACACACACACCCACACCCACACCCACACACCCACACACACACACACACACACACACACACATATATATATATATATATATATATATGTATATATATATATATATATATATATATATATATATATATGTGTGTGTGTGTGTGTGGGTATATGATTACGGTGGAAGAATTGCACATCCGCACTCTGTTACCCGGTTACGAGAGGTTTTTCGTGAGATGAAGACAGGCTACCTCCCTTCCATTTTCCAGTTAATGATGGCATAGCTGCCTCTAGTATGAACGGCTTCTAGAGTCATAACCATGTTCTTTTCAGTGCATTTGGGTATGATGGTGATGTTATCGACCATGATGCCCCGGGTAAGCCGCGAGTCATGCCTTACTCTTGCGCGCCTTTCTGGAGCACCATCTTGCAGGTGTATGGCGATGCGGCGGGACCAATATAGGATAAGTTGTTACGGCGTGCGCAGTACCCGAGGAGGCATGGGAACCCATGCACGATATTGGAAGTGCGCGGTATGGGAGGTGTCTCGTGCTAGGTCGTTGGTCACAGTCAGGCCAGATCATCTGGGTTGTGGTAGAAATTCAGCATTTTAACTTTGTCCCGATATTTATTGCGTACGCAGTTTTCGAGACTAAATCACGAGGAGCCGCTTCATCTTTCTTTGGTGGTCGGGTAGTCGATAGACGTGCTTTCTTCACAGAACAGTTCTATTTGGTTATTTTAGTGGCCATCTCGTTCCGCAGGTTGGTGTTCGTCAGCGGTGCGAGAGCAGTGTTTGTGTAGTTGCCGTCCGATGTGGCCCGCTAGCTTGCTCAATCTATGGTTGTTGTTTAACAAGATTTGTTTTCTTCAGCTCCTGATGCACAGCGGCGAGGTCGAGTAATGTTTGATTGTGCGGAGGACCCGTGCGCGAATAACGCGATCTTCACATTTGCCAAGGCACGTACTGTCTTTGCTCGAACGGTGTCCAGTTTCAGTGGGTAATCTAAACACATATGCAACAAAGGCGCCATACAATGGATCTTTGGATCCACGCAGTGGATCAATGGACACATCAGGGAGCAATCCTTTTCTGTTTACTGATGTTCAACATTGAATTGGAGAGCTGAGTGATTCTCAAGTTTTGTTTCAGGGAAAGCAGCTGTTGCCCACTTAAAGTATCTGCATAAGCCTCAACGACATGTCTACAGTGTGTGTAGAGTTTGGTATCTATGCTGTTGATCGCTATCAGTTGAGTAGGTATCATATCGCTTTCCGCAAATTATGAGCAGTAGATCCATTGCCACATCGTCGATTTGACGGAACGTTTGTCCTGGAGGGCAACGGGAAGGCGTACCCGTTTTGCTGGTCATATGCATATATATATATATATATATATATATATATATATGTATATATATATAGATATATAGATATATAGATATATATAGATATATATCCCTCTCTCTCACATATAAATATATATAGGTATATATATATATATATATATACGTTTATGCATACATATGCATATATACATCATATGCGTATAGATATGCACATGTATATCAACATCAAAGCACAGCCCCTGCGACAATGGGCCGACCTGCTCGCCACAGATTCTTGAGCCCTCTGTGCCGGCCGTAACGGGACCTGATGGCGTCCTCTCTATGCCCTGCCCCGCGCCGGGGGAGTCTCTCGTCTCGTCCGGGCCGCATAGCCTCCCGGCGAGGACCGGTCCTTCCCACTACCACCAGAAGTAGTCGGCCGCTGTCATGAAACTCTGACGCACGAGATCTACGGCATCGGTGCGCCGTTTGCGGTGCAGAACGGACTGGTGGCGGTCGGAGGGGCTGTGCCGTCGTCGTGACCGTCGCTGACTGCGGAAAATACATCGGCTCCAATCGGCGTGTGCCCGCAAGCAACAAAGGCGGAAGTATTTCGTCATGCAGCGCTCTCGGGATGGACTGAGAAATCCTCTTAAACTCTGGCTTTAGCAAAGCAGCGACACATCGACAATGTTCGGCGTCCGAATGTCTGCGCGGATCACTGCAGGTCCATCGCAGCTGGGGTCGATTGAGACGCGCCGACCGGATGGGCGTTTAAATGGTGTTTTTTTTTGTACTTCCCAGCGTTATGACACAGGCCAGCGTTTAGTTTCCAATTCCCTCCTGATTTTCGTCCATTCCGGCGCCGTTCTAGCAGACTACTCGACCTAGCGGTGTGCTCCCATTTAGCCGTATGTCTATTGGGGCGGAGTGTGCGCGGTCCACGCCGATATAAGGACACCCAGATCTCCTGGTCCGGTTTGTCGTGTGTGTGCTCTCCCGAGGGCGACGTTGGAGCAGCGGGGACAGCTGCTGACCGACAGTCTCGCCACTGGCGGCGGAGACCGCGTGCCAGCCGGCCCATGACTGGCTGGGGAGCTCGTGCTGGCAGCACCGACTGACGCGTCAAGGACTTGGCCAAGAGAGCGCAGCACTCCGAGCGTCGACAGACGTTGGAGCGCAAGCCGTCCGTCTCTGCTATCAACAGGTAACCGGGCCAGGCGGCCGACATCGGCAGCGTCAGCTGATGCTCTACAGCGATACCTCCGCCGTTCTACCGCTGCACATGGCATCGCAGCGATGCGAAAGTCACCACATCTCTGCGATTGCTGAATTTTCAGGGTAGTGATTTCGTTTACATCCCCTTCCCACGACGTATAGGCCGTCAGCCATTTTCAGTTCGTTGTTGGGATAACTGAAATTAAACCTCGCAGGAGATGGCAGTAGAGTCACAATGAAAATATCCGGCATCGAACCAAACAACCGGCATGTCAAAAAATCTTCGGGAGCGCAGGAAGCCGCAATACAGAACAAATAAGCGTTTTTCGGCTCTTTGAGGGTTCGATCCTTTTGACACAATATTTCAGTGGTGCCGTTGTCTGCATGATACATGCCGTCGACAACGAAAGCGCTTCCCGTCTCTAGAAAAGGGCGGTGAAAAGGCGAGTAAATATATTCGGGCGAGCACAGCTGACTGACAGCAGCACACGGACACGGCCGGCGATCACATAGCGTGCCGTGTCGATAGAAGCAGCGGATGACACCTGCCGGGCGTCGTTTCCTTCGCAATGACGCTGATCAGAAACTGAAGGCTGTGCTGCTCTCTCAGCGATGTATGTGTTCAATCTGAAGAGACAAGGGCTGTTTCATGGCAACGAGCAACATCGAATGAAGATTGCACACGGGCGACCATCCAGAAAACAGAATCCCCTCTTCCTTGATGGAAACTGTTTACATTCTAAGTAACCTTATTTTACTTGCACAAGCAGAACTCATCGCCAGATTAAGTGGTCTCACTTCGCCTGAGGCACAAATGTATACAGCTTCTCAGTGGCCATAGCAACGAGTCAAGGTCGCAGCAAGGTTGTCAGAATGAGTAAACTGACAATCTAATTGGATCCATGATATGCCATTTAGAAGCGACCAGCGATTGATTGCGTCCATTTCGTCATAGACAGTCTTATATATAGATATGCTATATTCAAGCATCGTATGTCAGCAATTTGTACCATATTCAATTTCGATAAGACGGTATTAAAAGCCTTATTGCTCGCAACAAAAAGACAAACAGGAGAATGGAGATGTAGATGCGCTGATATTTCGGAACATACCTGTATCGAAACGAATAGGAGAAGTTGTTCGTTTACACTTCTGCTGTTCGCTTCGATGAAGGCATGTTGCAGAAATATCAACGCGTTCCTATCTTCAGTCTTTTGGTTTTTCTACCAGGAATAAGGTTCATATTACTGCCTTATCTATGTACAAAATGTTCCTCGCAAACGCACCCAGCAACTTGCGCAATTTCATTTCATCTTCCGTTAGCGCTGCGCGTAAGCAGGAAGCGACTTTTAATTTAACCGCCTGATCGAGACCTTTTCTGCAGCTTGCCTCGTAATCACTCCGCTTCAGTCGCTTGCGATTTCGAACTGGAGAAGAACAAGCAGGGAATGCGTGATCTTGCTATGTAGCGCGAACAGCCTTGTGTAGCCTGTGTGGCGCACGCCCTGCCACCCAGCTGCTTAGAGCTGCCGGAAACAGCAGCATTCCCTCCACAGCAGTCAGCCGCTACGCCTGCGGTATTAGACCGCCTCCTCGGGCGGAGCCACGGCCGGCGATAAAGTCGTGTCATCCCCTTGTCATGATGTCGTGTCATTCCCGCAGACTGGTCTCGTCTCCCGACGCCGCGCGTGAGGTGCGTTAGTGGGCTGGTCAGCGTCGCCACGGATGATCGTTATCACGGATGGTGGAAATAATCACAGACGATCGTCCGTGCTGAACACGTCAGCCCCGTGTCGGTGACGTACATAACGCTCTCTTCATCATCATGCAATGAAGTCAAGTCGAAACTTATGAATACAGTGCATGTCTCGTGAATTTCCAGACATATATAAGCATCGAAAGCAATAGAACATCACAAAAATAGCACACCAGTGGATGGAAATGATACCAGCGCCGTTAACACTCGCCTTGATAGGGGGCGATGTGGCCCGTTAAGGGGTTTTAAGAATACGTCTCCCGTATGTCGTGCAATCGCGCCCAAATTCTGAGTGCCTTGAGGAGTGTCTATTACACGTGTTTCGACATCAAAAGCGTGATCCTAGCTTTTCTGGTTTCGGAGCAGCGTCGGTTTTGAGGAATACCACACGACGACCTACGGCCGGCGCAGGAGGAGCGTGGCAGCCGACGATTCCGCGAAATTCGGCGGGTCAACTCGATTACATTAACCAAGCCCATTATATTAAGAATTGAACAAGGAACATGTCTGTCCAGGTTTTGTATCATCGCGAGGCATGGTCTTACAGGCATAATATGGTTAAGCTAAAAGGTTAAATTGTCTAAAATTTTAATTTTGCCCTGGCATAATGGAGTCGATTATTAATTTAACAACATAGAAACCATTAACAATCGCGAGATTTCGTTAAGAACAATCCATTCTCGTTTTCTGCTGAGCTCTTTCCTTAATACTTTGGAATCGCCAGGGAAGCCGCATGGACACCCCATCCTACCAGCCTGCGTAATGAAAACGGCGAATCGGGGCGAGGCGCAAAGCAATACAATTACACCTGCCAAAGAACTTGAGCTACGGCTTACTCGATGACAAACTGTGTACCATCCAAACGTTTCCCGACACATGATGTGACATATGCGTCACTGCACGACGCATGTTAAATCGTATTCTGTACGAAATGCCAGATTCTGATGCGTCATTTGACCTGACAAAGCTTGTTACACCACATGACATGCACAAATAGTATATGCCATAGCCTACAATTTGTACTGCATCATATGACTTGAGCGGAGGCAGGTACTGTCGGGGAGATGATGGCGGTATGCACTCGACCTGGACTATTCACATGCCTTCATAACCTTCCCAACGCAGCACTCCTGGCCCATGGTCGGCCCAAAGCTTGCTGTTTGGTTTCCTCCAGTGACATTATAGTGATGTCTATCCAGAAAACTATCTTTCAATGCAAACAGGCTGACTGCAATATTATCTTCGAAATAAAAACAGTAAGTCTCGGTCCAAATCGTTCCCTGGACCACTGTTTCGTCTCCGCGATTGCGCCGTAGCATCATCTTCCTGAGGCCTCTGGAGTGACCTGTCTCGGCCGCAGGCTCCTTCCTGAGGCCTCCGGAGTGACCTGTCTCGGCCGCAGGCTCCTTCCTGAGGCCTCCGGAGTGACCTGTCTCGGCCACAGGCTCCTTCCTGAGGCCTCCGGAGTGACCTGTCTCGGCCACAGGCTCCTTCCTGAGGCCTCTGGAGTGACCTATCTCGGCCGCAGGCTCCTTCCTGAGGCCTCTGGAGTGACCTGTCTCGGCCGCAGGCTCCTTCCTGAGGCCTCCGGAGTGACCTGTCTCGGCCGCAGGCTCCTTCCTGAGGCCTCTGGAGTGACCTGTCTCGGCCACAGGCTCCTTCCTGAGGCCTCCGGAGTGACCTGTCTCGGCCACAGGCTCCTTCGAAGATACACACAACTTGTCAAGGACCGTCTGGCGCCGGCAGACTGTTACGATCACTGCGGCCCTCAGTTGTCCTAGAACTGCGGAAGGGACCGGTACCACCTCGACTGCGGATGACACATTAGGCGGTTTTGGGGACTGGCGAACTCGCATCATGGCCTCATGAGAACGGTCTAGACATGGAACAGGAACACTTTGAGATGGCTTTTAGAAACGGGACACAAATTGCGTCGCCGTGTTATACGTCACCGCTATGATGGCATGTACCATACCGCTTTTCAGTCAGAAAGTCAACCGTTTGCTTAATTCTTTGACAAATCAAACTTGTGTGAATTATCATGTCGTAGATGTGTGCCCCAATCTATAACCCCAATACGATGCTATAAGATGCGAGAACTCGTAACTTGTGGGCGTAACCTGTTGTGGTGCCGGCTTTACGAGAGCGGTTGGCTACGTGAGAACTGTGAGGCTCAGCGCTGTCTCCCCACCTTTGATGACTATCTGCACACCGTCAGGATCTCAGTGTTAAGGTGTCTGTCGGTGTATGATGTTCATAGATTTGGTGACTGTCGGCCAAACTACGAGGAGTGCTTCCCCGATAATATCACGGCAGATAGGGAAACCTCAGGTTAGCTTACAGTAGCTGCGGTGGCCGAAAACGCGTCGCGATATTCGCAGCTATGGGGATCCTCGGCTGGCTGCTGCTGCTAGCCGCTGGTTAGCTTACGGTAGCTGCAGTAGCTGTAAACGCGTCGCGACATTCGCAGATATGAGGATCCTCGGCTGGCTGCTGCTGCTAGCCGTAGGTTAGCTCACAGTAGCTGCGGTGGCTGTAAACGCGTCGCGATATTCGCAGATATGAGGACTCTCGGCTGGCTGCTGCTGCTAGCCGTGAGCATGGGTCCGCGGGCTGCCGGCGATGAAGCGGAATCGTTCAGCGAGGAGCAGTTTTCCCGCCAGCTTATCGAGCTGACCAGTGGAGAAGGCTTCATCAACAGGTGGGTGTGCAGAGAGCGAGAGAGAGGGAGAGGGGGGGGGGGGGGGGGTTACAATAGAGGTAGAGGCAGAAGCAGAGGCATGACCAGGATCATGGACGGGATGGACAAGAGCGGGGTTAAAGGCGAAGAGACGGGCGACTGAGGTACTAAACAGTTGTGCAAAGGCGTAGCATACCCCTGGTGACAATACATATATTTTCATTCCAACATCGTGTACGATTTGGTATTGGCAGGATAAAATGTTTGCGATAACAGGCATGGTTGTGTGTATGTACTAATCTATGCTGTGGTACCATATACGCTCAAATAGGAACTTATTTCTAATCAACTTACACCTGTCTGCCCTTGTCCGAGATTCAAGCACACTGGAAACTTTTGCCGTCTCCTGTTAACCGGAAGACTCGCGTTTCGAGGCATGTGTGTGGTGAAGTGGTCTTTGAGGAGACCGTTTCACGAGACCTTCTTGCGTGCCGGAAATTCCCTAGGTAGCTGATCGCGACCGGTTTCTACGGACCGTTCCGAAGGCACCGTTTTACAACAGTGAGGCCGCTGACCCGTCTGGCTGGAACTTTACGGTCATGTGGAAATGGAATTACTTGACTTTTTCCTGAATCGCTTGACAAGGAGTGCCCGTCGAACAAGTACAGTGTCACGGCTATACCTTAGATGGTGAGTGCTGGTAAATGTATCTCCGAGCAGCTTTTGTGAACAGCGTATGAGGAGACTACTGGTGCAGACTAATGACATTTGATATCAGCCAGGAAGACCTCAAGCCCTATTTTGTAGATGTAGTGAGTTCTGATGCCGAACGTAACCTGTGCTTAACATCCTGAGGGGCACTGGAGAAACGAAGGTATCGAGGAGTTCCTGGGACATGTCGTGGGAACATCTGGGAGTACATACCGGTGGTCATTGAAGAAACAAACAACACCTCACTCGTGATCGTGGGTACTGCCTTAAAACGTCGATAATTATAATTTGAATAAATGGATGGCTGCTCTGTAACTTCGCGTAACCTGTACCTCTTGTTATTGTAAACGCGGGTTATCTCGGTAACGGAACTCATAATTCGTCCTCATTATGGTCTTTGCTTTCTGACGCATGCATGTTTATTTGAACAGTTCGTTACATCCGCAATTTGTGGGCAGGCCTCTTGTGCAACATCTAATACGGTAAAAGAAGAGAAAGCAAGATTGTCAGTGAGGCTTTGAGCATATTGAAACTCCAAACAGATGCCAGGTGCTTTTCCCAAGGCTTTGGTTGTCACCACTCACAGATGTAAATTCGCTGGCACATCCACAATCATTTCAGTCCCAAATGTGTTTACAGTTAGATAGTAGCTCTCAATACATGGCGAAAAGATTAACTGAATTTGGCGACATCCGAAACCAGTTGGCTGCTCACAAGAATGACAGGGTTAATGAAACGCCCTCCCGCGCTGGTTCCATTACCATTAGGTGCGCCCACTTCACCGTGGAATCATTCCCGAATTCCAGATCTGCTCAGTTAGAGCGAAAATTTATCCGGGACCAGTAAGGCGAGATCGGATAGCAATGTGCAGTTACGATCTGAGAGCGTTAGCTGACGATGTTATGATCTGCTACACATGCCCGGAGCATGGGCAAATTGTGCAAACGACAGAACAGGAGGACGGGTGTTTGTTTAACATCACGCTTCGCTGGTTTAATTTGAGCACAACGTATCAGATTGGAATTGTTGAACATCTGTTTGAGGACCTTTGCGTCTTATCGTTCTACCGCGTGTTTTGATACACAAACGTGTGCAAATTTAGCGCAATACACCCATCAAATCTGGATGTACAACTTTTAGATAGACGTTGCACTACAGAATGCAAAACAGATCACAGAAGATCAGCACAAAAGATCTTATACCGACGCGCAAATGCGGGGTAGAAATTTCAGTGACGTTTGAGTACATTTGAAGTTCGGCAGCATCAGCAATTTACGTCAGGAATGCGTCCTAAGTCACCAGCTATTTCCATCCGCGAATCGCAGAACATAATATATATATATATATATATATATATATATATATATATATATATACGTTACACAAACAAAGCTTCAAACCAAATCATGAAGTAATCCTTTAACAGCAGTCCAACGTCCTTTTTACATAAGACGGGCCCCGGCGAGTCACGCATGGCGGGTAGCCTGTTGTACACCTCAAAAGCACGGGGCGCGAACCAACACCTACCAGTTCCCTGCGGAGGCGCACCAAAACCAGGATCCCATCCTCTCGCTTGCGCCTGGACCGCGACGTCGACTCCCTGAAACAAACCAATGTAGTAACAACTTGACTCGCAATTACAGGAGCTGTGTAGCTCGTGCTGTGCACTGCATAGGCCACCTACGTAGAACCACAAACAGGTGGCTGACGGCCCATTAGTAAACGGGCGCCCCGAAGATCATTTAAAGAAAACCGCCAGAGAGGTGGTGAGGTGAACCCACACGCTAGATATCACACTAAAGCTTCTGATATTTAGTACTTTCATTTCCACCAGATGCAACAACAACAAAAGAGAAGACTGCAAGTTCTGACAGCAGGGTTTATGAGGAGCACTGTGCCAGCGACTAATGTGCAGAGCCGCACCAGTGGACCATCCCCGTGTGACATGCCTTTGAGGCAGGAGCAAACTCGTGTTTTTGTGTTTATCTGTAAGTGCGTGTCTCAGCTATAACTTCCTTGAATACGCCGCTCAATGTGCACCGCTCATATAGCCCTGTGCTGGGTTAAGCTTACTTAAATATTCTGCATGTGTGTTGTTTAAACGTCACTTGTCCTACTTAATTGGTTGACGAAGCCTGAAGATTGCCTATGCTGACTGAAACGTGGCAATTTAGTGGAACGGACCGAACGATGAACAGCGAACGAACGATTCTCGATGTCGCTATTTGTACAAACAAGTTTGCCGCATTTGATGCCATCGATCGGTGATATAATCCACGAACATTGCGATAACGTGGGGCCTATTACGAGGACGGCCGAAAGCCTGCATAAATAACTTATTAATGCATGTAAAACTGTCGCGCCTAATGAGCAGCAACTTCGGCCGTAAACCAATCACTACCCATTCGACGAAGACTCCCATGTGTTGCTTTATGATAAATGGGCAAAACACCGGCCATGGTTCATCGAAGGGCTCTTCAGTCGGCCTCTGGCAGAAAGGGAAACCGCTCGTTTCACCGCAGTGTCATTCTTTCACTCCTGTGCACAGCGTCCGGTTTGCTGGTTGGACCACGGCCTCATCCGCACTCTGCACAGAAAGTGGGCTGAAGAAAGACTGCAACATATTACGCGGGCTCTGTCACTGCTGTATCAATGCATTTGAGCATCCTCGAATACCACATAATCACATACAAATGCAACGTTTCTTGCTGCCGATTTTATGGCCGGAGCACTGGGTGTTCTAATGCATTTTAGACGCCACCTTCAAACAAACGTTCGGATTCTGTTCGTACCTAGCCGCATCCACGGGCCCTCCCGGGTCAGCGCATACACGGGTCTTCCTGGGTCAGCGCATCCACGGGCCTTCCCAGGTCAGCGCATCCACACACTTATCCCTGTAACACGACATGCATTCCAAGGCGCTGCGCCCGGCATGAGACGCGTCTTCCAGCGCAGCGTTCTGGCATCCGCTGATCAGTTCCAGCCAGAGCGGAATCCGATGCCAGCCAGACCAGCTGATCGGCTCTGGCTTGGCTGCGGTCACCTGGCTGAGCTCAGGCATTGCCGGGCGGCGTCGCGCCGGCGATGCTCGGCCGGTCCGTTACAGAAGGCGCTGGGCAGCGAGACCGCGCCAGAACTAGACCAGATCAAATCAGCAGGAGGGCGGAATTACTGCTTGTAGCCCGCTATCTGTGACGCGCCGCCCGAAGCTGGTGATTCCGTCATTAGGCCATCGCGTGGAGCCAGGTTAACAGCTGTAATCTTCTCTCGGCTCCGGTTTCAGAAGTAGGCAGAGAACATCGGAAATGACACTTTATTGGCTCGAAAAGTGGAATCCCGCCCGCTACCGTCACGGTGTGATGCTATCTTACATGTTATGACGGCGATGTATTCCACTGCGCTTCCTACATGTTCTTAAAATCCACTCCGTCTGCAAAAGGTTTTTCCAGCTCGTGGCATCTGAAAGTACAGGCCCCTGCTGGAGCAACGACGCTGCACGCTCATTCCAGCGCTCATGGCTCATGTCCATTCGCTGACGCACCACCCGCCGCTGTGTTACAGAGTCTTCAACCGCGTGTCGACGTCGCTGTCCGAGTTCTTCAGCCCAGGAAGCACGGTGGACAGACAGGGCGTTGGCGCGCGTGAGTCTTTCAATTCCATGCGTTGGAGGTGCCGAAGGAGGAGCCTCCTTTGCGCCCGTTGCAGATGTTGACCAGGTTATGCATGCTTGCTTGGACCGGTCAAGTGGAGTTCAAACATGTTCTCGTGCTCTTTTGCCGAGCTTATAGAACTTCGTCCCACCCAGACAGCTTTATGTTCGGGTCATTCGGAAACATGAAACAGGTCATGGATCGCAGTGAATCATTCTCAATTGGTCTTTTTAGTCATCAGATTGGTCCGGATTAGTTAAGCTTTAGGAGCTATCATTTCATGTTTATTCACTTTAAAGTTTAGTTAGCAGTAAATCTCAGTACAGTTAGGCCGAATTAGTCGGCCCGACTGCATGTCGTGTTGACTGTTCTGTCCGATTTTATCTTCAAGATGTTTGCCTGGGGTCATGTCTTGAAGTACTCATGCAGTTGCGTGGAGGGACGGCAATTAGCCCTTCCTTGAGGTCTTTCCGGGGTAACTTCCGAACAGTGCCAGGATATCGCACTAAACTTTGTTTTGTTGTAAACAATTGAATTGCCCATCATTTGGCATGCAAACACACACACACACACACTCACATGTATATATATATATATATATATATATATATATATATATATATATATTCCCATAAGACCGCTGATCTACAGCATAGTAAAGTCGCGCCATGATTGGCATCGAAGGCAGCTTTCAGAACAGTCGTTTAAAGGCAGTGTTCCACAGTTACATATGCTCTCGAACTGAACTGGCTATCTAACTATCTAACGTGAGCACATGAGAACTGTCTTGAAGACCTTTCGGTGCTGTTCACAATCCTGTCCTTCTTAAGGCCTAAGCCCCTCTAGTTTTTGAACCACACTTCCGCAAAAATGGGGAAAGGTATATCGGGGAGAGTATTTCAAAGCCACCTTGGCATTCATGACGTCATAATAATGTCATCAAACTCCAGCCATTCCATGAGCCAATTGTCGAGGTGATCATATCTGACGTTCATGAGCGCGATTTCCAGATATAACGGCCGTCCGTTGGATCCTTATCAATGTTGTGCAGGGTACGATGACGTAACCAAACATGACGTGACGTAATCGAACCATGACGCATTGAGGAGCATATTTTCTTAACGAAAAATTGCACTGTCTAGAGCAGTATTTTGCACTGAAAAAGTGCACCAAAAGTTACAAGTGAGCTTGTGTCCATCATATCTCATGCTTGCTTCAATACCGTCAACTGTGAAAGATCCCTCAACCTACCCTGTGCACTTGATAATAATAGCTTTCATAGTTTAAGGAGACCTCGGGGGGGGGGGGGGGGTCAAATTGATCCCCCACGCGAGCACGTCGCATTCCGCCGGCATTGACACACGGCACGCGGCAAACGGCACACGGCACTGGCGTACGGCACCCGCATTCGACACACAGCACCGGCACCGGCACACGACGCATGGCATCTGCACACGGCACGCGGTACAGGGCACAAGGCGCACGGCACCGACACACGGCACACGACACGGCACACGGTAAACGCCACACGACTCACGGCACACGGCACATGGCACACGACACACGACACACGGCACACGGCACACGACACACGGCACACGGCACACAACTCACGGCACACGGCACACGGCACACGGCAAACGCCACACGGAACACGGCACACAGCATACAGCATACGAGTCACAGCACACAGCACACGACACACGGCGCACGACTCACGGCACAAGGCACACGACACGGCACACGGCACACAACACCGTCACACGGCACACGGCACACGGCACACGGTACAAGACACCAGCGCACGGCACATGACACCGGCACACAGTACACGGCACACTGCACGCGGCACATGGCACCGGCACACGGCACACGGCACGCGGCACCGGTGCGTGCTAGCAAGCATAGTTACTTGCAGTTCCAGCCAGAGCTGGGAGCACCGTTACTCAACTCCCACGGTTCCCGATACAGTTGATGTAGTCTGGCCGCCCACCTGCCCAGCCGAATGGGGGAAGAGACACCTGTGACATAGTTTGACCTTTAAGATGACCCGTTCGAAATTAACCCGGAGATTAACCCTTCGAGTGGTGAGCAATTTGGGGCCGATATGGAAAGGAGGCAGAACAGTTGGTTAGAATGAATAAGGAAAGCATGTCTAGCGTATGCCGGCGTTTCAGCTCCGCTTACAGTCTCGGATCTGACCACGCCCCAGCGTTTGCTGTGTTGCTAACTCTGTTGAACCTGAAATTCGTCCCGTGTTTCAGTTCTGCTGCGGATCCCGGACAGAACGATTGTTTGTACGCCAGTTTTGATGTTGGCCGCAAACTTGAAAATCTTTCCGTGTTTCAGGTCCGCCACCGATCCTGAATCCGAAGCTCATCCTGTGTTTCAGGTCTGTCGCCGATCCTGAATCCGAAGCTCATCCTGTGCTTTAGATCTGTCGCCGATCCTGAATCCGAAGCTCATCCTGTCTTTCAGGTCCGCCACCGATCCTGAATCCGAAGCTCATCCTGTGTTTCAGGTCTGTCGCCGATCCTGAATCCGAAGCTCATCCTGTCTTTCAGGTCCGCCACTGATCCTGAATCCGAAGCTCATCCTGTGTTTTAGATCTGTCGCCGATCCTGAATCCGAAGCTCATCCCGTCTTTCAGGTCCACCACCGATCCTGAATCTGAAGCTCATCCTGTGTTTTAGGTCTGTCGCCGATCCTGAATCTGAAGCTCATCCTGTGTTTTAGGTCTGTCGCCGATCCTGAATCTGAAGCTCATCCTGTGTTTTAGGTCTGTCGCCGATCCTGAATCTGAAACTCATCCTGTGCTGCAGGCCTACTAGCGATCCTGGATCTGATGACATCAGCCGTGTTTCAGTTCTGCCGCTGGTCCTGGACAAAGAGCGCGCCACGTGTTTCAGCTTCGCCGCCGATTCTGGACCTGGAGGTCGTTTCATTTTCAGTTTTGTGTCCATCTTGAGTCTGACGACCTCCTCGTGTTTCAGTTCTGCTTCCGATCGTGGCTGTGGCGATTGCTGCCGCTGTCGGCGTGGCCGTGGCGGTTGCCGTGGCCAACTACGTGACCGACGTGATCGCCTCGGGGCGCGGCCTGACCGCCGACGACTGGGAGATCAGCCACACATCCTGGCTGCGAGCAGCTACAGCGCGACCTCGAGTACTCGTGGGACTCGGTCTGATGGAGAGGACTCCGCGGCTCCGTCTGATGGAGGTGACTCCGTGACTCCGTCTGTTGGAGGGTGCGCCGAGACTCCGTCTGACGGAGGGGATTCATGGGTCCATTTGATGGGGAGGACTCGGCGACTCCGTCTGATGGAGGGAATTCAACAACTCCATCTGTCTGATGGAGAGGACTCGAGGCCCAGTCTGACGGAGGGACTCGGCGAACTCCGCCTGGTGAATGGGACTCCGCGGCTCCGTCCGATGAAGAGAACTCTGAGTCTCCGTATGACGGAGAGGATTCCTCGACTCCATCTGATGGGGAGGACTCCTCGACTCCATCTGATGGGGAGGACTCCGCAACTCCATCTGATGGGAAGGATTCGCTGCACGCCGTCTGGCGGCGAGGATGCAACTTTACGACGTGAGAGCCCAGGCGACAGTGCCAACTTTACGACGTGAGAGCCCAGGCGACAGTGCCAACTTTACGACGTGAGAGCCCAGGCGACAGTGCCAACTTTACGACGTGAGAGCCCAGGCGACAGTGCCAACTTTACGACGTGTGAGCCCAGGCAACAGTGCCAAACGAATCCTAGGACTCCGCGAACTTGACGTTGAAATGCTGGCAAACGCTGGACCGACGTTTAAATGCTGGCAAACCGAGCATGTCTTATGAGATGGCTGGGTGAATACTTCCAGGAGATTTGGCTCTGCGATGAATGAGGAGAACGCTGGAAGGCACTGCGTTTGTTCAAACGTAGCAGAATGCTTCCCAACGCTCAGGAAAAGACACGGCATGTTCAGGCATGGTATTACGTTATAACGATTGTTACGATTGTGATTGTTACGAACGATGTTGCGATTTAACGTTTTGGGTTGGTAGTACGGCGCTGCAAACACCTCTTCCAGCTCTAACGAGCCTTTCGCTTACTGCCAACTTGCATCTACCAGGCCAGACAATCAGCGGCATCATGAACACATCCTCAGGTACTTGCCACGTGCTAGAGCGGGGAGAGTGTGAACGCAAATATATGAGTAATATAACCCCAGTGATGGACCACCAAAGCGCAAGCTTGCAACAAGAAGGAACCACATTTTTCAACGCCTGACAAGTAGGTGTCGTTGGTGTTTGTTCAGTTTCAAGATATATTATACGGAGGTGTCTCGCGTGCGAGCGCAGAATTCCACTGACTCACTCGGCGCTAGCTTTCGCGCCGTGGCGCTCGTGGCGTACGGCGCACATCATGTCAGATTGACGCCAAACCAAACAGTGTTATTCCATGAGGTAAACGCTCCATGAACAGTACTGATGATTTCATTGAACATCAAACATAGAGTATCAATCCAAAGTGTTCTGTTCAGCGTTCTGTCAGCCTTCATTTAGGACACTTCAAGAAATACCAAAAATTGGATATATCTGTTATATGTCTTACACATATACATATATATATATATATATATATATATATATATATATATATATATATATATTTGTTAGGCAACTGAGGTAGTAATGGTGATAAAGACGGTTCTACGTCTTGTTTGCTTTGGGTGCGCCGGTGTGTCTGTGCCATTTTGCATTGCGGTATGCCGGAGCCCGGTGGTTGGTAGTCGAATGGTTGGATGTGATGCGCGGGCGTATGAGAACGCGTCCCTGCGATAGCTCGTGGTCCACTGTGGTCCGCGGTCCGGACGCGACACGTGCTGGAGGAGTCGTTTTAGGCCGATGGGGTTTGCGCGGGCGGCCTGAGAATGTAACCTACGACAAAGCCAGCCGACGAGGAGCCACCGGAGACCATGGCCACATCTCGGTAACCAGCGGTCGGGCTGACGAGCAATTGATAAGCTTCGGTAGAAAGTTGAACGGGCAATCGCATGGTGCTAGATGTGCGGCCGTGCACATCACGTGTCACGTGTACAGTAGCGGTCAAGATGAAATTGCCCTTTTGACGTTTTTTTTACTGCTTTTGTTTTTTGACCATTTGTCGCTTTACCAAGGCGATATACACCAGGTGGAGTTGTCCCGACAACGCACTTCCCAGCAAAAATCCTCATGTGGACGTCACCGGGGGTACACCTTTAACACTAGGACGGCCGCACGCGTGGTAACGGGCACGAGAGATCGCGTGTATTGCAACACGCTTAGTTGGTGTAGTGACTTGTAAGATCAAAGTTACCATGAATAAATGAAAAAAGGTTGCACTTAGCCCTAATTTTGAAGGAAATTCAAGAACTGAGGCGGTAATATGGGACTCATGGAGCAAGCTATTCGAGGACTTATCGTCGCGTTTAGCCAAAGAAGCGCTCGACGCAAGGACTTATTTATTATTCGGAAGCACCAGATGGACTCGAAACTGCATCCCCCGGTTACCAGTTTATTTTGTGCGTCACAAGTGTCATCCTCCGGAGAACTCACCGCCAAGACAATCCATAGAACTTCTGGCCGCCAGTTGGCGTTTGGATTGGGCCCCGGTTTGGCAGATCACCCGACGGGACAAAATGGTCGCATCGATGTGGCCTACGGCAATGTACCGGAGCGAGTGGGGGCGTATCTCTCACCTCCCTGTCTGAGATATCTTTGAGGAGCGGTTGGGTGTAGCCACGCAAGAAGCTTGTAAGGCTCCCGAAGCTCCTCGACCGGGCTCCCAGCCCGACCTGGCCAGGCACATTCGCGCGGCTCCATCTAGCGGGGACAGTCAGGTCAGTACACACTGGGGCCAAATCATTCACCAGAGCTACACCCTGACGGTTGCTAGTTTCATGGTGCGAAAAGTATCACTGGTCTGCTATACCTTTTCCCATCAAATAATGGACAAGACTCGCTTGATCCTAGAACTAAATGCAACCTAAGGGTGCATCACGATCTACGCTCATGACCTTTTGGCTATTCATATTGAATGCAGCGGATGAGTGAACAACGATATTCTTCGTTTGACAACAGGCTTCAGTTTTATAACTGCCGACCGCGCAATGTCATCTCACTAACACGGAGGCAGGACCAGATGCACTCCAGCGGATCCATATGGCGGATCCACTGCCGGCTACAGTACCCGGATTGCCGCATGGATGATGCCAGCACCCAGCTGGGACTTGGAAGCCACGCATCCACCTTGTTAGCGTGTTGTTTGAAGGCAGGGGACGTTCATAACATGCTGGGCGAATGCGCAGGTCTTCCGGCTGATAGAGCGTGGTGCAACAGCTTTGGCGACATCAAATCCCTTCATCGACCCTTGGACAGTCGATGTTGACTGAGCTGCCAAGTCGAGTGACTGAGTTGCTGCTGGCTGAAGATGCCCTCTGTCTGCACGTGCCGCAGGTTCCGAGTATTCCGCAGGAGTTGGCACACCTGGCGCAGTGGGCGAGCGGTCCCGAGGCCAGTTCGGACGGTTAGTTCGGTGCTGGGCATGCGACTTCATCCGCCGAAAGTCAGGCGGGCTTGCTCGTGTCCCGGTGATAAATTCAAGCATGAGGATGACACAAGCTCGAACAGCGAGAAACGCACATCGCGGAAAGCCTCGCTGAAAGGGACCCAAACAGCATGCAGCTTTTTCCACCCATCATATTTGCTATCTGTTAAATACCCAGCACATGCACCAGAGGCGTAGCCAAGCCCCCCCCTTTCAATACGGACTCATCTGGCCACACTATTTGTTTTAGAACTGGGCTGGCATAAATTGAGACCAAGTGTTCAAACGCTAGTATGAATTTTTTAAAATATAGCTAGCAAAGTACTCCCAGTTCGTGGAGAATAAAAGGAAAGTGCGGAGCGCTGACATGTGACTTTGAGTGAAACTTTAAGAACATCTAGACCTGCTGAGCTGACACAAAAGGAGGCTAAGTGGAAGCTGAAGACACTTTGTGCTGTTGCCTCGACCAACTCAAAAGGATATTCGCCATTCGGGTCTCGTCACTATCCCTGTTCAGCAAGCGTTCCCCTGGCCGACTCGAGGTCCCTCGTCTGCACAAGACCCTCTGTTTGACACTGTGGGCCCATGTCATGCGCCCTCATTATTCCAGGGACCCCGACCAGTGCAAACTGGGGTCCCGGCCTTCCTCGTGCTTCGAAAATGGACAACCAGAGCTCACAACAACTTGGAGTCGACTGTTCGGTGTTGGTGGTCTATAGTCGAAAAAGGGTCCCGAACTGTCCTGTGAATCCCTAATCGATGTAGAGGCCCTCTAACTAGCCTTTACGATCACGACTCAACAGGCGGGGGCGTCCTTATTGTGACCTAGAGCGTATTCTTCATGCCCTTCGGAAGCTTTAGCCTTACAATCGGACCGTTGATCTTTGGTCTCGAGGGGCCCTTTGGCCCTTCTTCAGGCCTCCTCGAGCAAAGCCCAACACGAGTTTGTGCGAGGCACGATTACGTCAGAAAATGTCTTAGTATTTCGAAAAACGGCGCAGAATACACCATGCTTTCGTCGAAATTGCGCCATGATTGTGACAAAATGCAGATCACCTTACATACTAATTCATTGCTTGCATTTGCCGCCCATTTATATGCCATTCTGTGAACTCATCAATCCGGAAATCAATTATCCGTAAAATATTGCAAAGCCAACGTTTTGCTTCATCAAAATGCCAGCGATTGATCGCTTCGTCACAACCGGGAGTTTTTGTAAGTAAAACAACCAAACGCCCATGTCTCGAACCCGCAATACATCATTTGTTGCGACGAAAACCGTGAGCCACAGTGACGGTCGAGCGCATTGTCCGTACCTACTGCTTTGAGAAACGTCGGAGAATCCTCACACATCGAGGAAATATTAATTTGGAATAAGTGTGATAAGAGGACTAGAAAACGCATTCATTTTAAGCGAAGCCCGCTTCTCTGACAAAGCAATACTCCTAATGACTGCACGGGTGTGTTTTGGAGTCACGGATCTATCTTGGCAGGCAGATCATGGGTATGCTTTCGAAATACATTTTTACCGTGTTGTTGTGCGCAATCACCTTCGACACATGGGTATGGGGCGTGAAATCGGTAAGCACAATTATTTTTCTGTTTGTTTTTGTCAGCTTGGAATTCACAGTATCTTCGCTGCTTACGACTGCTTCTGAAAAACGGATACAATAAAGTTATTTAGGCGCCCGCAACAGACACCTCCAGCTCGCACACACGCATAGACGGGGAAACGGCGAACGGTTACAGACTGATTTATCCAGTCTGCGAGCGACTGCCCCATGATGCTGCACGACCAGCTGACTTCCAGATACATTTTACTGCCCATGGCTCCGCGCTTCCCTGGTTGTGGGCGCAGCAGAACCGGTTCCCGTCAGGAATCCCGACAGCCAGAAGTGGGATCGGCCAGTTTCAAACACATGTCATGCGCAGAGCACTACAGGCCTTCACATGTGTTTTCAGACAATCAGCTCCGCCGCTTAGCGGAGCAGCCCACAAGCCCTTGGCTACACACTAGCTGCTCATGGTGCTCGCTGTCTGTCTATCTGTCTGTCCATCTGTTCCTTTTCGGCGTTGCGTCCTTCATGGGTCGAATGGCGGGTCGAAATGCAGACGAGCGTAAGACAGGCTGAAGGGTGAAATCTGGACACGACGCGCCGGCACCCACGATAAAGCCGCCGCACAGCAGCTCCAAACCGTGACCACAGCTCGGTAACCAGGCGTTGGGTGAACGAGGCATTGGCCCCGTTTAACCGGAAATTGGATGTGAAATGGCACAGTGTGACGGGAGCGATTGCACGTACGGCGTGTCACGTGCATAGAAGGGGTAAATGTGGATCTGTTCCTTCTTGTCACTTTTCGTGTTTTGTGCCATAACTCGGCACCTACGTGTCTTTGTCTTAATTGGAGCCTCACGGCGATTTCTTATCCATCGCCAGCTTTTTTCCGGTCGTTTCCTGGCCCTGGCTTCCTTGAGGCTACTAAAGGAAGTACGCTGGGCGTTCGTTCCCTACCGGGAGTATTTAAAAGACACAACCAAACACGTGCGTGCCGAATGCATCTGTCGGGACAAAGTTTATTCATTCGTTGCGACGAAAACGGTGAGCCACAGTGACGAATGCATTGTTCGAACTCATTACTTCGAGGTATGTCATAGAA